CCCAGCCCTATCCCCCGCCAGGGGAGTGAGTGGATCAGGAAGGGCCCGATAGCCAGCCAGGCCGCTCCTCTGCTGAAGGAGCCTTATCTCAGAGCTGCACACGGTGCATTGAGCACATCCTTTTCCTGGGGTTCTGCGTCTGGGAGGAGAGAAGGAGGAGGTGTGGGAGGAGAAGGGGTAAACACGGCTTGATATAGGTGTGTTTTCCAACCCTCCACTCCTCACCCTTACTTCAGTTTGCCTTTCTTGTTTTTTTATTTCTACAATTATATAAACTCACTTTAGCCATTTGTAAAATCCCTTCTGAGGTGTTTATTTCTCCTCAAAACTTCCAAGTGTTTACAAATCCTTTTTTCTATAATCTGCATCATTTAGGTCTGATTCTCACCACAAACGCATTAGTGGGGCAGTTTAGACATGATAGACAAGTATTTATGGAAAACATTGCATGCATGTCTGGAAACACACATTATAGATCTTTACAACGATTTAGTAACAGCACCAAGCTGTCCTTTCTGATGTGACGATTGGTTGAAATGAACAGTTAAAACTGACTATAGTAAATATGCCACAATACTGTAAAGGAAAACATTTGTATTCTTAATTATAGTTAATTCGCTCTTTCTATGCTGCTCAATCCTCAGTAGGGTCTCTGGTAGCTGGTGCCCAATGCCAGCAGTCATTGGTGAGAGGGTGTGGGACACATCCATCACAGGGCCTCAGAGACCAACATTCAATCTCACGATTGGCCAACAGCAACTCTTCTGCTGCCTTCATCAGCAAAACTCAGACCACTGTAAAAAATAAAAAGTGTCTTTTTCTCCACAAATAATCAAAGCCCAAACATGTTCTGCCCCATACTGGATCTGCTAATGGTTAGATTCAGCTAGCTGAGACGTGCTCGGGTTTTTCCTGTTGTCCCTTACTGTTGTAAGCCAAAGTGGGCGAGGCCATGAATACTAATACTCCCCTGTGAAGTAGAAGAGACTGGCGTTTGCTGGGTTGCTCGTGTTCCCGTCTATTTCCTTTCTGCAACGAATGCGGGCAATCGGGGCTGAAGTAAGTATTTGTGTTTCGGATGCGTGTGCAACTAACAGATTGTCTTACAAGAAGAACAAGACCTTAAACGCGGCGTTGGGTTATGGGCTCGACACACGGGAGGCGACATCTCCTCTCCTCCATTCATTTTCAATGAGACATGCGCGACAAAGCGATAATCACGGGTCTCCCTCCTACTAAGCGAAACGCGAAAAACGTGCGTGTGAAAGTTTGCACTCGTGCACGTGTCGTGCACGTACGACCCAGCGACGCGATCCCAGAAAGTTGAAACATTTTCAACTTTTCATCGCTGTCGCTCGGACGAGGACCAATCAACGGAGGTTTCATTCACTGACCAATGAGCGGGCAGGATGCTCCGCACATCTCCGAGCAAACATGGCGGAGAAGTTGATTATTATTATGTTTTATAAAGTAAAATCAGAAGTAAGATTTCACATAACTCTAGCGGCACCTTGTGAAACATCATATCTACCACTTTATTAACTCTGAACCGCTTAAATAACCTTAATTCCCTCCAACCTGACACAGCCAAGCAAAACAACGGAAGTTTCGAATTTGCAATGGAACAGAACGCGTAGACGGCTGCGCCGCTGGCCGCTGCCGCGGATCGCCTCCCGTGTGACAGGTAATAAAAGCGACAGCGACAAATTTCGCTGATCGCGGCCGTTTGTCGCCTCCCGTGTGTCGAGCCCATTACACCGCAAAACATAAAAAGACCCTAGAGATCTTTGAAGGAATAAACTCACCCACCATCGTATACCAACATTAAGATCACCTTCTGTTAAGAATTTCATTATAGTCCTTTTGGTCAAATCTCTCATGCACAACCCAATAGTTAGTATTCAGAGTCTGTTGTGAATGACTTTCTGCTAACACGCTAAATTACAGCTCAATTTGTTCTAAATTAACTGAATTATACCTTATTTGGGTTTGCTATGATCAGTTAGCTGTAGCTCTTACTACTGGATAGCCTCCACTAAAGCCTAATTCATACATCTCCATCTGTGGGCTTGCAGAGGCAGACGAAGGCGTACCCAACTTTTTAACTGTCTGTCAAAGGTGACAGACTGCAAGCTAGTGATTGGTCAGGCGTCTGCTTTTGTCATCAGCACCACCATTGAGCTCTGAAAAACATAAAAAAGCTGAAGATATCTAGCAGCAGACAAGACTTGAAGAATACGTCGCAAAAAAATTCAAAAGGATGACTGTTCTCCTGTGAATGGAGGCGTATAACATATGTACTGCAAGCATTTTATTTGTAGATGGAAATGTCAAGAAACGTGGGTTTGGAGGTGGCGAGCACATGAGCAGTTGGAGGGGAATGAATGAGGGACAAATTAGTCCATTTTTAAGTCTCTCAAACACAAAAACACAATCTTAAATGCACATCTTGGACCAGATACATGACGGGATACCCCAGAACAGCGCTACGCCCTCTGTTGTCATGGCGGGGTATTGCTTTGCAACACTCTGAGAAGTCCGAGAGCAAATCTGTCTGTGTGCTTCTGTCTTGTGGAGCTGAGGCAGAAGCATAAAATAGGCTCAGCAAACACTGTAGTCCACCTTTTGTTTACGGGTAAGGAATCAGGTAAACACCTAGAAACAAAGAAACATCAAAACACAGTAGCGCTGAGTACTCTTATTAACATGTTGCCCTCTGTATTTCCCACTAAGATAGCTCTCCAGGGCTGCCAGTAGTGCTGACCGTGTGTGTGTGTGTGTGTGTGTGTGTGTGTGTGTGTGTGTGTGTGTGTGTGTGTGTGTGTGTGTGTGTGTGTGTGTTATCCAGCCTGTGCACTGCACAGCATTTCTCCTGCTGTCGGATCAGTCTAATGGAATCCCCAGGCAGTGAAAGAGCCACATACTGAGCTCAAGCCACCTTTCTCTGATGATGAAGACGATGTTTCTCTCACTCACTCTCCCCTCTCTCTTCCCTTTGCCCATTCAGCTTCTCCCTCTCCTGAGAGTAATTTCACAGGCAGTTCTAAAGTGGCCCCCAGCCAGCTTCCCAAATCCCCGTTACATGTTGTTTGGCGCTGTCAGCTCTAAGCCTCATCTTCACTCTCCCTAGCAGAGAGAATGCCATTGTGCAGTAACGGGGAGTATAGATTTTTAGTGGGAAGCTGGAAAGTTTTGTTTAATGGCGTCTCAACCTGAAGGGTCTCAGATTCACCTTGTTAGGGGTTCTGGTTGTCTAGTCAAGGCGCTGGGTGGTGGAAACTTTATTTAGTCCCAGTCACTTCCATCTGCATCACTTTTCCTTGTGTGATCTTGAGCTTTGCATTTCTCACATGTTGAATTTGATTATTTTTAGTTTATTTCTTTCACATCTTTGAAAATTTGGAATTCCTAAAATTGATGTCCAGTGTCCTGAACACTGAAACTCCACCTTTGTGTAAGCTACTGGATAGCTTGAATGAACAAAGCCAAAGAAATTTGAATTTTTAGCATTTTATATGATTTATATTTTATAACACTGAATTCAGATGGGCTACAGTCCACTGACTCACTTTATTCTGTAGGGTTGCAGGGAGACGGTATCTACCTCTAGCTGTCATCGGGCAAGAGTGGGAGACATTCTGGACAGGTTTCCAGTCCATCACTGGGTCACATAGAGACAACCAGCCACACATGCAACCACGTTTAGGGCCAATTCAACGTCTCCAGTTAACATGATTTTGGTCTGTGGGAGAGATCCCGCACATGCTAACGCTGCTACAGAACTACCAACGTCGCCACCTTGCAACCAAAAAGTGCAATCTTCCAACAAGCATTAGCTTAAACTATCTAAATAAAATTAGACTAAAAAATAAATTACAAAGTTTGAAATTCTGAAAAAGAATTGAACCTCCAATAGTGTTAATTATGGGTTTTATTTCACAGCTTGGATCTTTGTCTTACATCAATCAACAACCAAAACTCTTTAGATGTTTCTCACAGAAACATTTGTTAATAATTCAGTTATATGGTTAAATCTACTTATATGTTTTTCGAATGCCTGAACTAAAGCTTGATTCAAACATCTTAACGTCTTTTTGCTCCTTGTTTTCCATGTCACGATTAAACGCCAACTGTAATCTGAACGTAAACGCTTAAAGGCCGAACAATGAGACCACTCCACAAAACTCTGTTTTCAATTGATCTCTAATCTGTAGAGTTTGAAAAATTCCGTTCGCTTTACCGTCTGCGATAATTCATCGAGCAGCGGCATTGTTTAGTGAGATTCTCCTGAGGAGCTTCTGTATTCTTCTGGACAAATCATTATGCATTGAGTAGGCCGTTAGGAAAATGAAGACAAATGGGTCAGGAGGGTGGGGTGACAGATCGTACAGGCTGTGGAGGTAAAATCTGGACCATCTTGATCCTAACAGCATAAAGTTGGAGCTGTTTAGTGGTTTGAGCCATGATTTTCAGATCAGATTAGCATCTTTTTCTGGATTTAACTTTTGATCTTTTGTTTAATGTAGAAATAACTTTTAAAGCAGCCATTTAGTAAGTTAGTGCAGTGTGTAAGTAAAGACGCGGCCCGCTTTCTTTGAAAAATAGACGTTTTATCACATTTAATCAAACATTTACAGGAGAGAGACTTCTCTATAAGATTGTTGTGTTGGTTGGATTTTTTTAGCAGTAAGCTGATCAACACTGGGTTTATTTTTATTTTTGTATGAAAATCAAATTTCATCTGCAGCTTTTCACAAATGGATGACAGTTTGGAGCTGACTGTGCAAACACTGTTGTAAGAAATGGATGATTCTTGTCAGAAATGTGGTTTCTTTAAGACGCCTATTGTTATAACTACGTCCTATTTTGGGCCTTTCCCTCAGTAAACATGGTTTGAGTAATCTTAGGATGGTGATTGACAGTCATTTAAGCTTCCTGGTGTGCAATTGTGTCTGTAAATGCAATACAACCGTAACTGTGTTTTTGTCATTTTGGTTTAGGAAAACAGCAAAACTAATTCTCCATGTGAGTCGTCGGAGTGTGGCACTCCTTCTGAGCTGGATGCCGAGTCCGTCACCAAGACCGTGACCAGTTCTCTGAGCATGCAGGAGTATTTTGCTCAGCGAATGGCTCAGCTGAAGAAGGCTCGCGAAGCTCAGGGTCCAGCTGAAGACGTCAACAGCAGCAGCGATGATGCAGAAGAGCCCAAAAAGAAAAAGACGAAGAACAAAGACATTGTGGAGGTGATGGAAGTGGTAGAAGAGCAGTCCAGTGTCTTCGTCATCGAGGATGAAGACAACCAGAATCAAACGTGTTCAAGGAAGAAAAAGAAGAGGAAAAACACAAAACATTGTGCAGATGAAAACTGTAGCTCTGTTATTGTTCTGGATGATGATTGTGGAGAAGTGATCCCCTCTAAAAAGAAAAAGTCTAAAAAGAAGAACAGAGAACTTTTAAATGGACACGCGCAAACAGAAAATACAGCTGAAGAGCGTGTGGTTATACAGGAGGATGTGAAGGAGTGTAACCGTGAGCCAGTAGTTAAGAAATCCAAGAAGAAGAAGAGAAAGAGAGGAAATCAAGAATAAGGTTGGGTGTTTAGTTTAAATCCTTCAGATTTCCAAATGATTTGATCCTCACATTTATATGAGATGGAACCGTTGGAGCTGCTCAGATTAAAGTAAATTACCTGAAACTTCAGGGTTTTATAAAAACCACTTCTAAAATTAAAATTTAAAATGTTAAAGACGAAAAAGAACCAACAGCAGTTTTCCCTTAAACTGAAAATGGATTAAATTTGTTCATCTTAAAATATCTATTCATTACAACGGGGTGCTGTTGCCCCTTCCTGTGCACACACGTTACTATTTATTTAAGCTCAATTAGACATTGTCTCCTTGCTTCGTTCATCCTGTACGTCTCATTTAAAGTGATATCATGCAACACAATGAACTTTGATGTGATGTAAATCTAGACACTAATTGTTGTTTAAGAACCAGAAAATGTTTTATTTACCTGGATTCCTCCATTTCAAATAAACATGATCCAGCAAGGTTGGTTGTAATTGTTTTGCTTTAAATTAAAGAATTCTGTATGGATAGATTTGTTGGGATCCTTCTGTAAAGACACACGAGCTCCTGATGGTCACTGAAATAAATCAAAATTGATTTGAGTAATACAATGACTGAAAATCAATGAAAATCTGATGGGTTTGAAACGATCAGCAGACTAATGATAAAAAAAAAAAGAATGAATTTAGCCTCTGGATGAAAGTGGTGGTATGTTAGAAAAGACTGGACATGCTAGACCAGGTGTCACCAGCTCCGGCCCTCGAGAGCTACCATCCTGCTAGTTTTCTGTTTCCTGCTCTACCACATGTGAGTGGAGTATTTCAATCCTCTCCTTACCACATTTAACTGCACAGGCCTGTTAATTATTCATGTCATTCAGGTGTGCAGGAGCAAAGAAACCGTTGACGTCAGGATGGTAGCCCTCGAGGACTTTGGTGTATCTTACTGAGCATCACAGGTGCCTTCCATCTAGTAAATCACAGTTAGAAAGGTCACCGTGCTGATTGGTATCAGGGTGTGTGCCACAGTGAACATGGACCACATAAACTGTAGGAGGCTGGAAATCCATCGGACTAGCGGACCTTCCTGGATGTGGCTGCTAGTGGTGTTAGGGATTTGATTAATCACCTAATACTAATAACATTTGGTAACGCTTTAGGAACACAAATTAATCATTAATTAGCTGCCAATTGATATACATATTAGTGGCCTACTAAGTCTGAACTAGACATTAAGCACTTATTACTAATGCCGTAATTCTAAAATTAACAAGTCATAAATTAAGGAGTTTTATCAAAAGCCATTCATAATGGTTTGTTGCTGATTAACGGACACTAATCTCAAATCAATATGTGGCTTTTAAGGAAGTAATTCAAGGGGAACATAGTCTCGCCTTAAGTAGTTAATTATTACTAAATTACTAGTAATTAGGGATGAACAAAATCTGACGTTAGAATGGGGAACATACTCTTGCTTACAAGTGGTTAATTGATTGTTGTTTAGACTCTGTTAACATGTGGAGTTTGGTGTTTATTTACATCGTACCAGAACGTCATATTTTTGCTTATTAATGCAGAATAACTATTCCCCTTGAATTACTTCTTTAAAAGCCACATATTGATTTGAGCTACTGTAATTATTATGTGCGTTAATCAGCAACAAACTATTATGAAAGGCTTATTTTGATAAAACTCAATTTATGGCCTGTTGATATTAGAATCACAGCATTGATAATAAGCACCTACTAATAGCTTAATAATGACTTGTTCAGGCTTAGCAGTCCACTAACATGCATATTAATTGGCAGCTAATTCATGGTTATTTTGTGTTCCCTAAAGTGTTACCTAAAATGTCTATAACATATGGAAAATTGGTAAATTGGCAGTTATGAATGGTGACCACAATAGAAACTTACCAAGCTTAGAGGTGAACTCCCGAGATCAAAGTTCATCAGTGTCGGCTCTAGGTTCACACTGGCGATGGCGGCTTGGGCTAGGAGTTCTCACTATAACCAGTGGGTTGCTGGTTTGAACAAGGACTTTGTCCATGTCAGTCGTATCCTTGGGCATGATTTTTCACCTGCCTTGTCTGCTGGTGGTGATTGGAGGGTGGTGCTTGTTGGCAGCCTGGCTTCTTTTGGTTTGTCCCCGAGCAGCTATGGCGAGGCTCATTGCCATCAGCGTGTGAATGACTTGACTGTAGTGTGAGGCACCTTGTAGTCCTCTAACAGAAAAGCACTATACAGGTGCAGACCGTGTCCACTCTGGCATTTTCATGGGCAAATACATGCAACAAAGGAAAGACCCCTGTACTTACTGGGAGACCTAGAGGCCATCCAAGATTCCAACTGGTGATCGAAACACTCCTGAAATCGCCGACCAATACTGGCCCATACCAGCCTTTGATAACTAGCTAAGGCCCAGACTGTCCCACTCAGTTGAACAAACACATTTATTTGTTTGAATGGGTTCAGGGTCAGGGGTCCTACATGATGATGATGACCAAAAACAAACTCAAGACACTGGCCCTCGCCTCTGGAACGGTCTGCCGAAGGATCTCAGGGCCGCAGAGAACGTTCATGCTTTAAGATCAGGCTCAAGACGCACCTTTTTAGTTTAGCTTTTAACTGATTACTATTTACTGCATTGCTTGTTTTACTTATTTATTTATTTTAATTACTGTTGTGTTACACATTTCTGTTGTTTTTTTTATATAATCACATTTTATTGGATATTTTACTATCCATATTAGCTCTTGTGATTTTACATGTTACATATTTTAATCCTTCCAGTGTTTCCTCTGTGGAGCCCTCTGCCTCTGGACCGGGGGTCGGTGGCAGCGGCTGGGGCGCTGCTTGGGTAGTGCCCAGGTAATGGTGGGGGTTGCCACCCTCCCTCCCAGGGCACCCTGGATTGGTGTCTTGGCTGCTGCCGTGGATCTGCTGCTGTCGAGGCAGATGGCTCCCTTGATGATGTGTCTTTCATTACCTGTCCAATCTGAGCTCAGCCTAGGGTTTACTGTGGTCTTTTAATGTGTTATGTGTACGAGTGTGTGTGTGTGTGTGTGTGCCTGGGAATGGTTTGTGGATTGGGGGGTGAAACTTTCATAATTGTTCTAAGTGTGGGAAAGGGAGGGAATGTGGGTTATATGAGTCATTTTAATCTGTTAAGCACTTGGTGTTGCTTGCTTTGCATGAAAAGTGCTTTATAAATAAAGTTTGATGGATTGATTGATTGATTGATTGATCACTCTAGAGAGGCCTTCTATAAGATTCCTGATCTACATCCCGTTGTGCAAGGAGCTGAAACCTACACTCAGGAGAATGAACCCTTCAGATATCCGATAGAAGATTGACCAAGAGTTAGCCAAAGCCTAATTTATACTTCTCTGTCTGTGTCTGTGCGGAGACACGTATCGCCATCATGCATCGATGCAAGGGCTCTCCGACAGACTCACAGAGGGTGACTGAGACATGCCCAAATGTTCAAATATCCGTCGGAAGTGACAGAGACTGGTTAGGATGCTGCTTCCTGTAAATTCATCAGCAGCACCCTCATTGCCCCATCAAAAAGTAGAAAGAAATTTAGCGGCAGATATGGAACAGATTAGAGAACGTCTCCCGGAAGAAGTTTGAAAATGTGAGAGTTTATCCCCCTGAAGGAGAGCAAAGATACGGAGTGCGTCTTTCCCTCGCGTAGCGACGAGAAGTATAAATCAGGCTTCACAGAAACTACGTAATTGCCTCGAAATGTTGTGCCTGCTTTTTTATCCTTTGATTGAACTATCTCTTGTGAATTGTGGTTAATTTCATAACCACTTGTTTCCATGTCAGATTGTTTTGACCGTGGTAAGGAAAAAAAACTTCACATGTGTAGATTGTGTAAAGCTCAAGTGTGTACGTATTCAGCCTCAGCTGGATTTCATCACATTTCCCACCACGCATGACTTGACAGTTTCCATAGCTTTTAAAACAAAGCCCTTCTTGCTCAGATGTTGTAAGGTGTGAGTCAAAGAAGAGGGAGACTGCAAGTGTCCTGTGTTGCACATTCTAGCATACCTTTCGCTATTTCGGGCCGTTGAAATAGTTTAAAGGGAGTGTTTCTGGTTGTTGTTGGTGGTTGACAAAAGAAAGGTTTGACTAAAGTAGACACATATGATGTAAAACTGCTATTTCCTTGACTCCTCGTTTCCCGCTTGCAACCATCACCTGACTTCTGAGACACCAGAGGTGTTTCTAGGACAGGTAAACACCGGGGGCTTAGCCCAGCAAAATGTTTCATTTCCATACGATTTAGTTGTCCATTATTTTGAGTAAAACATTGAAGTCAATGCAGATTTCCTTAAAGACAACGGACTTGTGTCTGTATAAAATGTTTTTAATTAATAATTCACCAGACTTTTTTATGGTTTTCAATTTTTTTATTGCCTTTTAGTTTTTTACGCAAACATTTTATGAGATATGTATCTTGTCATCATTGCTGTTTAATCATGTAACTGACACATTAAAGACAGCTTATAAAAATCTGTTTGAAAACATTAATTAAAGATGCACACCAACATGACTTGTCCTACAGGAGATGATCAGCCCAAGGAGGACGTCCCTCAGGTCTTGGACAACACTTTCAGATCAGATGCTGCAGATCATTTTTGTCCTCCACTTATATTTTTCCTCATTTTTAACACAGACTACACAACATGGCATCAGATAAAAGGACTAAACAATCAGAAAGCAAAGTCCTCAGAAAAACTTGAACAGACCTTCAGAAATCCTGAATAACTCTTTATCCAGATTTCCAAATCAAGAAATGAACATATTTTCCTTGCATTTCTTATTCATTCAAAGAAAATATGTTGAATGTAGATCTAAATAAACATTATTCATTCGTTTATTTCAGTTTCAGTTCATTTTTCTATGAGAAAATCCTCTGAATGAGTTCCACTAAAATGTCCAGATTACTGGAAAATCCTGCTTTTTGAAGGAAAGTCATTAATGTTCAAATAATTTTATTTTAATAAGCAATTTTAAATGTGTTCATTATTTATAGTTTTTCTGGTTTAAAATGTCAACCTGTTGATCTCATGTTAGAGTGAAACATGTGGATGGAGATCCTCCTCTTCACCGGGGCGGTTCCTCTGCTGCTGCAGCAGAAGAAGCTTCTTCTCCACCTCCTGCTGTCTGACCTGCAACTCTCTAAAACCTTTAATGTCCTCAACAAAACAGAGCAAACACACAGATGATAGCTTCATGATTCCAAATACTTTTAAGTTCTTCAGGCAAACGTATTATACCATCACGCTATGCTACAGATATGTGGCTTAAAGCCCTGTTAGAAGCTAAACCATGGTGAGACCGACTTCTACAATTTTTAAATTTCTGAAACTGAAGAAACTTTTTCATTGTTCTAGTGGTAAAGTGTCCACCCTGGGACTGGGAGATCAGAGTTCAAATCCCAGTCAGGTCACACCAAAGACCTGATAAATGGGACCAAATTCCTCGCTGCTTGATACTCAGCTGTAAGGGGTTGGATTGGGGGGGTTAACCACCAAATGGTTCCTGAGCTGCTGCAGCTCACCGGTCCCCATAGGGATGGGTCGAATGCAGATGATGACTAACGGGACTTGAACTTTATTTTCCTTATAAAAGACACCACCACTGTCACACTTTCACTTTGGTTTCCATCATTTTGGTTTCTTGTGGATTCTTGCGGCCACCAAGAGGTTCCATCAGTGAGGATCCTGCATGTTTGCCGTTCTGTTCCACACCTTACGTTTTAGTCTTACTGACACTGGTACACTTCAACACTCTTAATCAGTGATGCACCGATATGACATTTTTGGGCAGATACTGATATTAAGATCACTTATGGCCGATAACCGATATACCAACATTAATGCTTCTAAAATCAGCAGATTTTGTATAGAATAAAATGTATTAAAGTTGAATTTACGTTATGTACACACACAACACACACATTTACGCTTCTGAGACGATTTCATTCACTGTTCACATGACTAAACAAATACACATCACTTCCCCCCTGAAACAGGCAAACACATGGAGATGAGATGGAAAAAAATACCGGTTGTTAATATCGGCCCGGTTTTATTTATCAGACCGATATCGATATATTGTCCATCCCTATTCTTAATGTTTTCAGTCGGACTTAAGTAATAAAGAACAATGAAAACATTTCCTTCCTCACCAGCCCGTCTTCAGTTTTCTAAAGATTCAAGACTTTGGCACTAATCATGTTTTTTTTTTTGTTTTTTTTTTTTGTTTTGTTTTGCTTCACAGATAAACATTTTTTTCTTTTGAAATACTTTAACGCATCTTTTTCTGATTTTCTTCTCATGCCAAACGATAAGATTTGTATTTGAAGTCTTTTTGATTTATTGTGTTTTTCTTATATTTTTTATGGACTAACTAAGTTTTCTCATGTGTAAACATACTGGTGATGTCAGGTCACACGACAATAACTTATGTGCTTTTTGAGGAACTATAAGAACTAAATGAATGAAATTGTGTCTGAGAATGCTCGATATTCTGGTATTTGTTTCTAACTAATATTAAACACTTTTGAAAATCAAAGTTGCATTCTTCATTTTATTACCTGACTCATCTTTGTATTAAAATCAGTGAAAAGCAACACGTTGATATGGATCACACACACACACACACACATGCACACATGCACACATGCACACACACACACACACACACACACACACACACACACACACACACACACACACACAGCTCTCCTCCACTCATCTGCATCTCTCTGCTTTTCTGACTGTCACACATCCCATGACTCATGTCAGAACGTCTAGAGGAAGTGCTGCCTTATATATCACTGATGAGCCTGCACCATGCACAATCTGTGGCCTCAGGTGCCGCTTCCTCTTCCTGTTGGAGGCCGGAAGCTAGAGTTGAATTTTTACTTTGACAAGTGAGGATGGATGACTCATTAAACAATTCCAATTAACCTGAATGCCACATATTCAGGTTACTGTCAGATTCCCGCCTTCTTAGATATCATTGATAAAATTCCACCAGACGTGAGAGATGGGCAGAGAGTGAGAGAGTTACTCCTTGTAGCCTGAGAGTGTCCTGTCAACAGGAACTCCTGGATTTGATATGCACCCGCTTTTGGCCACAGGAGGAAACTGATTAGTTAGCAGTGTGTGTGTGTGTGTGTGTGTGTGTGTGTGTGTGTGTGTGTGTGTGTGTGTGTGTGTGTGTGTGTGTGTGTGTGTGTGTGTGATTTATTTTCTCCGGTTAAATACAAACGTGTCCATAAGCTCTAGCCTGATGAACATAAACGTGTTCTTGCTCAAAAGCGGTATGACAGTAAAAGTTCTACAATTTCTACATTTTTTCCATCCCTCTAACTCTTTAACAACCCCGCACTTGTCCTGAAGCATGATGATGTTAAAGAGTCACTTAGCAGGGGAGTTGTCTTGAACAGACTGTTGAACAGGTTTGTTGGGCTTGTTGAGCAAGGTGTTCCTTGTTGGTAGAAGAAGAAAAAGAAAGAAAACACAAGTTGCAAAATATCTGTCAGCACTGACTGTTTTTTAAAGAACACAACAGAAAATTATTGTTTTTATTGTCTGAAAACAAGCTGTCTCTTTGAGAGTTTGAAGCTGATATTAGAGTCAGGGGGAGTGTTGTTTGGTGTTTAGGTAAAGGAGTTGCTTGTGCTGAAATGTTGCCCCTTCTCTCTCCTTTTCATGGGTTTAACTTGTAATCAAGGAGGAGTCCCGAGTCCTGCAGGGCTTCTCCTGGAACCTGCTCCTGAAATATAAAGCGCTTACCCCATCCAGCCCATCCAGCAGGAAGGACAGAACCAGAGCCTATAAGGAGGAGCCGCTGCACGCGCACATCTGTGGCTTCTCCTCCAATCTGAACTGACAGCCGTCTCCAGCTGTAGGATTTTACTTTTATCTGAAAGAAAAGTCTGTTTTTGTCGTTTCTTATACATTTTATCAGGCTACATACGCAGAGAAACTGAGCGCAACTTGTTTAGGAAAGACGCACAAACGCGCTTTTTGTAAGTTTGGAGAGGAGTGAGCGCGCGCACCGCAGATGGCTGCTCTCATCAGCGCGTACTCGTCGTGGCCGGAGTCCTTCGAGTGTCCTCCGGGGGACGGAGACGTATCCGACGGACACGGACCCCACAGGACTCCCGGGGACAAGGCGCCGGAGCCCCGGATCCGCCGGCCCATGAACGCGTTCATGGTCTGGGCCAAGGACGAGCGCAAACGGCTGGCGGTTCAAAACCCGGACCTGCACAACGCGGAGCTCAGCAAAATGTTGGGTGAGGAAAAAGTTTCTGAAAGTTATAATAACAACAACAACAACAACAACAACAATAATAATAATAATAATAATAATTATTATTATTATTATTATTATTATTATTACTATTATTATTATTATTATTATTATTATTATTATTATTATTATTATTATTATTATTATTATTATTATTATTATTACTACTAACCCATTAGAGCAGGCCTTTGTTTAAAATATTAACGTCCAACTTCAGATTGAACAAAATTAAAATGTTGGAGTTTTAGGAAAATAAGTTTGGTTGAGAATCGTTTAATAAACAAAAATTGAGGGAAAAGGAGACACTTTGGTTTTAAGAGCCGCAAAATCAGCCTGACAAGTTTGTGTTGCTCCCAAAACAAAAAACAAATGTATTCAAAACTCTTTTACTGAATCTTAAATGTCTTTATCTAAATGGAGTTTTAAGCTCTTTTTGGGTTATTACGCAATATTAAACAACAAATCTGGTTCTTGTTTAACCTAAAATATGATTGCTTAATTTCATAAATGCAACTAATGCTTTTCCTAAAACATGATTTTAAACTAATCTACATTTTAGAAATATGTTAGTTAAAAAAGCTGCTGAACCTTTTTTGTTTCTTCATTATTCAGAGTGATAAAGAATTTAATATATCTGTCCTCAACTATCCTTATTCTTAATAGTAATTCAGGACATGTTATAAGATCTTTAAAGTGAAAGATGTTATGCATTCATGTGGAAATATTTATGTGAAAAAAGTTGTCGTTCAATTTTAATGTAGCTATCTGATTTTAGATCAACATGAAAAATGGAGACGTTCTCCTTTATTTCCAGACTAACCTGAAACATTTAAAATTTGCTGTTTTTTTCTACATTTGTAGGAAAGTCATGGAAAGCCCTGACTCCTCCTCAGAAGAGGCCATACGTGGAGGAAGCCGAACGTCTCCGGGTCCAGCACATGCAGGACTACCCCAACTATAAGTATCGGCCCCGCCGGAAGAAACAGCTGAAGCGCATCTGTAAGAGAGTGGACCCCGGCTTCCTCCTGAGTGGGCTGGCTCCGGACCACAGCGCCCTGCCAGAGCAGAGAGCCCTCGGTCGCCCGCATGACAAAGACGAGGTCAGCTCTAACGGAGCAGCCGGCAGGTTTTCCAGCTCCAGCCCGGCGTTGCCCAGCGTGAGAACCTTCAGAGACCCTCCTGGCTCCGGCAGCAGCTTTGACACTTACCCTTACGGGCTCCCCACACCTCCTGAGATGTCCCCCTTAGATGCCATGGACCATGAGCACATAGCCCCCGCCTACTACTCAACATCGGGTAGCTCCTCCATCTCCTGCTCTTCCACGGCCTCGTGTTCAGATGAACACCACCCGAGTCAGACACACATGGGCAGCCCGCCCCCCTACCACACTGACTACACTCAGAACCAAATCCACTGTGGGGGCACACACTCAAGTCACATCTCTCACATGTCCCAAACTAGCAGTGGTGGTCTGATTCCAGGTCCTCCTCTGTCTTACTACAGTTCCTCACCTTTTCCGCAGATTCACCACGGGCTCCATCAGGGTCACCTGGGTCAGCTGTCCCCGCCACCAGAGACTCACGGTCACCTGGAGACTTTAGATCAGCTGAGTCAGGCCGAGCTTCTGGGTGAGGTAGACCGCAATGAGTTCGACCAGTACCTGAACTCCACTGGGAGCGGGTTCCACCCCGAACAGGGCAGCATGACTGTAACGGGACACATCCAGGTGACGTCCACCACCACCTCTTCCGCCACTGCGTGTTCCAGCAGCCCCACAGAAACCAGTCTCATTTCGGTGCTGGCGGATGCAACGGCAGCCTACTACAACAACTACAGCATCTCGTAAATACTCTCTTGGAGTCGTTGCGGTTGGGTGCTGATACGGCCAAGACATCGGTATAGACTCTCAGTCATTCAAGCAAGAATCAAAGACTGCTGGATTTCTTTTTTGGGGGACTCTTGAAGAAGTTTCGCTTATTGAATTGTTTCGCTTCTCGAATTAGTAGCTAAATATCTTCAAGAATCAAAAAAATTAAGTACATTTCCCTTTGATTCGACGCAGGATGATGAAGGCAAGCATTCTAGACATGTTCTTGTGTTTTCAGAACCTTGTTGGTGTCTACGAGCAGCTTCATCCAGACATGAACTGATCACCGAGCAATACGTTTGGAGCCGAGAACCAACAATGTGAGGATTATGAAAGAAATGGAGATGGACACCTCAGGGAAGCAGACACACAACACTATAATTCGCCACCTCCAGTTGTCGAACAATCGTAAACGGCTTGGTTATTCGTTGTAAATGCCGCCAGCTGGTGTTGAGGCATATACAGATGCTCTGTAGAAGCTAACTTAAGTCCTTCGGTGTTTTGTACAAATGTAACGCTTTTGTCGACGCTTCCCGTTTGAATGTTTGTATTATATGTTTTTGCTCTCATCACAGAGAGTCTTACCTCAGTAGTTGTTTTTGAAAGAGGTTCTAGTTGGACTTTTCTTATGCAATTCAGCTAAACTGTGTATAATATAGAAAGAAAGGCATTTATACTCCTCCTCAAGTAATACCTAATATATAATCAACCTCTGCAATGAAAAACAATAATAGTAGCTGTAACTGTATGCTGATTTAGGCTTACAAATAATAATTATCGGAACATTTTGTTTATTTTATTGTAGATTTACCTTCCGACCATGACGGAATGAGCATTTGTCATTTCATTGTTAATAACAGGAGGAACTCATAACGTTTAAAAGCCATTTGGATGCAGTCCGTTACAATGAGTAAATGCCTGAGTAATAAAAATATATGAAAATATAGGACTCCTTCTATTTTTTCATTATTTCTGTGAACATTTTAGAGAAAAACTGATAGTGGCGCCTCATCACGTGTTTTTCTATATTTGGGTCCTTCCATCGTGTTTCTTCATTCGTCTCCTTTTCCTTTCATTTCATGGTGTTTCAGAGGATTAGAGTAAAACAGGCACATTCACGGCCACCCGCCTCCAACTCAACCATCTTTTGTTTTTCTGGAGTCTTCTTCTCGGGCGCCATTCTAAGACATGCCCACCCCCCAAACACCTCCGTCCACACCCACCTCTTCACTCCACAGTATATCTTGCTGATGCAGACCTTTTGTAATCTGTGCAAAAATAAATAAAAACACAAATTCCAGTGCCTCGCTGACTGTTGACACCATTCTTTTCTCCCTATCCTCCTCTTCTCACTCTTTCCATTCTCTTGAAAAATTCTCTCCCTTTTTTGATAAAAGGAATTCAGGGGGATTTTGACAAATCCTGGAGTCTGGCTGGTTTTCCTGCATTTTTTGGGAATGGTTGAGTCGTGCTCCTTGTAAAGAGGATGTGGCGGAGGAACAGTGTTTCCTGACTGATAAGGGAAAAAGCCTCTCGCCGTCAGGATGTTTGGGCCTGGCTGGGCCCTGCATTAAAGCACCAGAGTTGAGGGAAGGGAACCCGCTGTTCAGAAAGTGGGAGGGAGCACCGCCAGGCTGGTTCACGTTTCATCGACGTCTTCCTCCGATTTACAGGACCTGGCTTCTTGTGCCTTCACCACAAGCCCAGCATCCATATTCATCGTGCTTTTGACACCTTACCCTGACCAGAATGACAACATCCATCACGTAGCGACATTTGCAGCTGCTTGGTGGTCTCATTTATTTCAGGTTAGATCATTTTCCTGTGTGCCTGCAGGGTTTAAAGCTCTGCAGGAGGGTCAGAGTGAACATTTTTGAATTTTGAAGGTAGCGCCTCGGGCATTTGGGGTGTATAAGCGGTCTTTGGTGGGGCATTGGCCCCCAAGTTGTCGTGGGCTAGCTCGAGGTGCTGCTGCAGACTCCCCTGGTAAAGACTACCTGTGTAATGATAAACAATCACACCCTCCACCTCAGGGTAGGACACTGGTACACAGACAAGGACAACGACTCAAGCGTCAACATAGCATCATCACATTAGACTCAGACTGGTGCACAACATGAGATCAGAATAAATTCTTTATTTTTAAAAGTATATTTTATTGAAACAAGTTGAAAAAAAATCCCACATAAATGAAAAGGTTCGGATAAAATAAAAGAACAAGAAAAACTGCAAAATCTTCTTCATGGGTTTATATTTTTGGAAAACCAGCGCATTAAGTTTATTAAAAATACAGACAGATTATCATCAATATGCATTTTTTATTAAAATTCTAAATATTTTAATACACTGAAAAATGATCTTTTATTGTGTTTTAGACGTCAGATTGTTGTCCCTTGTTAGTGTTCCCGCTTGGGTTTGATTTAATTTTATAGTGAACAGGAGCTAGCAGTAAATTGTCTGAAAGCTGCTGTTAGTTTTGAGGCATGTTTTAAATACTTAAACGTTTAGAGATTATTTATTTGAATTTCCTGATGTAGCCTAATGAATGTCCCTGAATGCACATGTAGAAACACCACATTGGTTTGTGTTCTTTTGTCCCATAAAATCCTTTTGATTATTGTCAAAAAACATTTTAGATCATTTAGAAGAGCACTTTCAGTCGTTCAACATGCTGTGTCTTTTTTAGCTCCACACAGACAGAAGGAGCTGCAATGAAGTAAAATAAAACAAATAAAATCCCAGGTTCAGGTCGTCTGAAGCTGAGCTGTGGGTCAGCTTACCGCTGGTGTAAAAGTGCTACAAATGAAAAAATAAAAACGGATGAGACTATTAACTCAACTAGACAAACCACTAAACCACTTGATCAATCAGACTAAGAACAGGAGAGAAAAATTCCCCTGATTTGTTTTGTGACGTTTGCAGATCTTGAGAACGTCGAGTTTTCGGGAAGTGAGGGCAAAACGCTCAACGTGTCAGCCTTAATTTTTTCCTCTCCAGAAGTTGACTCGTTATCATCTTAACCTTTAGTCGGAGCCCACAACAGAAAATCAGAAACAGCCGTTGCTGCTGTTTCAGCAGCAGTAAATCAACAAGCACCAAGTGAGATAGATGGATGGAGAATAATGTGACAACAAACATGACACTTGTGTGAACTGCAGACATGTAACACGTTAAGCACACGGCTATAGTGGCGAACAATCTCCACATAACCTCTCTTACCACAACAATAGGGTTCATACCACTATTAATTTGACTAATCGAGTTTTTCACACACTTGCAGATCATAAGATTTACAATATTTGTGATTATAAGGATAGGCTGAACAAACAAAAGAAGCGTCTCTTGTTATTTCTCTCTGATTGCTGGCTGGCGTAGTTCCAGGCTCAGGTCAAACCCATGGAACGAGTCTGTCAGGTAGTCTGTTATGTTTCCTATTTCCTCCTCTGCCTTCATGTCACTTCCCTGAGCAAACAAACAAGACCGCCGGTCCAACGCAACACCAACGCTGAAGGTAGCAGCACAAGGCTCGTGTGTGTGACAGGACCATCACAGCTGTGGAAAGGATTATCCATTTGATGGGACTGAGGTGATCACTGGTCATGTTCTCAGGAGGAATAAAGGAGGCTAAGTGTCTGGTTGGTCCATTGTGTAGTGAAGGAGGGAGTGCCCAGTTGCATCTCATTTGGACAAATCCAGCCTCATGATGTTCTTAACGTAAAACTTTTAGGTCAAGAGGAAGTGGCTGATTTGAACTACGTGACTAAAGCACATGTCACCAATGGAGACCAAGATGCTCCTTAAATCTGCAGATGTTGGTGTGTTTAAGTGACTTAATTAAGCTTCTGATCGTTAGGTCGAGTATTTCATAGTAAAGATTGTTCCATTCATTTTACTGACTGCATTTTACTTAACCCTAAGCGTACGCGTAACCGTTACTGATCTATTTCTAAAGCCGGGCGTACACTGTCATTTTTTTGACTGTTTTGAGCCAAATTTCCTCTTGTGTGAGAATCTTTGAGGTCGAGGCGTGTTTTGCGTTGTGCGTTGAGTATAGGGGGTTACGAGAGGCAACCAGCTCCTGATCAGCAATCGTACAATTGCACGAATATGAAATGTGTTTGATATTTTGCTTGCGCCTCACAAGGTTATCAAACAGAGCCGCGAACCAAAAGTAGCAGAACCGCTCACACAGCGCATGCACCAACCCGCCTCCATAGACCCTCTAAAACCCTGCATGAACACCTACGGCAAACCTAAAGGACAAATAATATAACAAAATAACAGTCTCTGGGTCTTCTGGGATTTTGTTCTTGAATGTCTGATGTGTTGTCTAATATTTTTAGCATATTATCAGGTCCGATGTGTTGCTACCAGACGTACAGTTTGAGCAGGCGGGTCACATCCGAGACCTGGATCGTACAGTGGGAGAACACGACTCGTGAGCTTTGCTCTGCGAGGAAGTTAAACAGTTTGAGATGGAGCTGTAAGCTACGAGTGAAAAAGTTGCAGTGTATGCCCAGCAACACTAACCATGACTCTAAAATGAACTAGCGAAGCTCATTAGGCGTGTTTCCTGTACCGGTACTTCAGCGTAAACGCAGCAAAAGGGAAATCGACCGGGAGATCCTCGGCTGTCATGTCTCTATTTACAGTTTGGTCCTGTAAGGAATGTACTAAGGTGCCAGCACATTGCAACCTCTGCATTGTGAGTGACGTCATCGATTGGCCAAAACACGCCAACACTTAGTGTTTAAAAAAACGCCTGCCCCATATGCATTTCCTATTTCCTGCGTCGACGTACGACATCATTTCCATCTGAGTTACAACCAATCGGTGGCCTTACCGCCCTCCACCTGTGTCAGACCTCCTGCTGGGCCACTCCGAGTACTTATCTCTAAGCAGGTACTCAGAAGGTTCCTCAAAACATCCCGGAAAACAGCTGTTTGGCAACCCCGGTCAAATGGAGACACTCGTATGACGGAAGATTCTGGCGAGTTTACCCTGAAGTTCCGGTAATGGAAACACAGCTAATGTAACAACGGGAGGACCAGGCTGAATGTTCTCACTTTGCAACTAATGTCCTCGCTTTATTGGTGAAAATTATTTAATTGGTCCTCACTATGTAGTATAGACAAGTACATGCACACGCTCATGCATGCACACCCAAAAACCTAGACAATAAATCAATACAGGCTGCAGGAAGCTTTGCTCAAGATTCTTCATAAAACTCCATGTTAAATTTCCTAAACATCCCGGACAAGTCCCCAATTTTACTTTATGTTGCTAAAAACAGTCAGCATTTACTCTGGACACATTTATTGACTCTTATGTCAATAAAAACATTTTTTTTTCAGTGAAAAAACAAAATTGTCCTTTTTTAACCGAAACAAAACAGAAGAGCTTTGCTATGGAACTAAATCTTTCAAAAACTCAAAAGACAAAGATGAAAATAATCAGATTCTTGGAAGTTGTAAACAACTTTATTGTAATAAGTTCAAGATGATAATGAGGGTATAATGGGAACCACTCAATTTAGGGATTGAATCACTCAATCAAACCGCGCTAAGTGACGGATAAAGACACATTTACATCTGCAAACCACAGACGCTTCTGGAGTGCATTTGCAGTTGGAGTGTGTTACAGCAGCATAATAACCTGTTTACAATTTGTACTTGGACCCAAATCTGCCCAAAGGAGGAGATGAACACACACACACACACACACACACACACACACACACACACACACACACACACACACACACACACACACACACACACACACACACACACACACACACACACACACACACACACACACACACACACACACACATTTCAAGGCAAGGGATTATGGGTGCAGCTATTCTTCATCTCATTGTGGCTCAGAAACAGGCAGAGTGTGGGGCGGCAGGCAGGCGTGTACGTCGCCGGACGAAGAATGG